CTCAGACCGTGCTCGTAGTTCCTTATTAGCCAACATTAGCTGCCTTTGCTTAGCGGTGTGACGTGAAGTCATGTGACCGTGCTGTAGTTCCTTTATAGCCCAACATTAGCTGCCTTTAGCCTTAGCTGTGGTGATGTGAAGTCATGTGACCGTGCTGTAGTTCCTTTATAGCCCAACATTAGCCACCTTTAGCTTAGCGGTGGTGACGTGAAGTCATGTGACCGTGCTGTAGTTCCTTTATAGCCCAACATTAGCCTCCTTTAGCTTAGTGGTGTTGACGTGAAGTCATGTGACCGTGCTGTAGTTTCTTTATAGGCCTGTTACTTAAGAGTTCTTAAAGTGGTGTTAACATGTGGAGATTATCCCGCTGAACTAAACGTGTAAGTATCATAAACGTTTGTTATTAATAATCCAAAATGCAATGGAAAAACCCTATTGACTTCTTGTGGAGGGAACCAGGGAGATGCTACCTAATTTTAGCACCATTTTGAATGTGATGCTCCTTATTATTAAATATTACAAATGTTAAAAGTAGATGAAGGTAAAGTCACCTGAAGGCAGCGTCAGTTCGAGCAGTTCATCGTCATACTCGAGGTTCTGGTCATCAGGAAGCTCGTCTTTGTCCTTCCCTGCGTCCTCTCCCTCTTTCCTGTCTGGGTAGCTGCTCCTGTTGCCATAAAAGAGTAAACAAAGTGTGAATCAGACGAACATTTAGATATTTAGATAAATATATCTGTAGAATACAACAGTAACGTACATTTCACTCAAAAACAACCATTTCAAATCAGCTTAAAAACAAGTCTTGTGAATTAAGTCTGTTTTATTTTGAGTATCATCTTATGTCTGTTTTCAAACTAATGCTTATAAAATGAGGTTATTTATTACCTGAAGTCGTAGAAGTCTGCGAACTCCAGAGCGGTGTCTCCGTCCGTGAAGAGCTTACAGTGGCTTTTGTCGGTCATGTGACTCTGAACTGCTTCAGCCGAATAAAACGAGCGCCCCTTCTCGTTACACCACAGACACACGTTCCCCGCTCCCACCTTCTCTCCTGAAACACAAGAGGGAACAATTCATTAAAAAGGCAGACAACATTCAATTACTTAAAACTGGAAAACATTTACATCAAATAACAAGAGCATTAAGTAGTCTCTTTGTTACACGACTAATAACCACAAAGTTAGTAGATATTCTTACATATTTTTATATCAGAAATCCTCAATCTGAAATTATTAAGAGGTGCAGTGATTGAATATTGATACTGTACATTTTACATTTAATTTAAATCTAATTTAATACGCCATTGCTGCACACTACATGTAAATAATATCCCACTTTCATATTCCGTTAGCTCTGATTTAGCGCTTCAAAAGTGTTTCATTTGTCAGATAGTTTACATATTTTTTCTCACAGACAATTTAAAATATTTCCACCGTTCTATTTTGTTGTTTAATTGTTTATTTTATACTCTTTTTAATTTCTAATTATGTACTTGTTTACCATGCTGCTGCAACGAGAACATTTCCCAATTTGGGATTAATAAAGTACATTTATTATTTTATAGATTTATAATAGAAACAACTCCAAAACATTAATGTCCTAAAAAGGCGCAGGAGATATTTTGGCTCGACTTCAATGTTCAATATAATCAGATCAATAAATCTGTGTTTTGGTTTAATTATTCTGCTTTTTCCTTTACTGAGATGAGACTAACCTCCCCAGACTCAACTAATATGATAATACAAAAGTTACAAGGACATTTGAACCAGGACTACATTTATAGAAATCAACACAAATTGTTAGTTTCAATTAATAATAAAATGAAAAAGGCATTTCTCACAGGACTGGAAATAAAAGCAATACAAAAAAAAAATTCACTACAAAATTTCAAAATATTATGTTTTTTTTTTAACATCTAAAAAGGACATTTGACGCAGGACTAAGACCAAATAAAAACATTTAAAATTAAAGGTTATTTAAAAAATAAAGAAGCTGAGTGAACACTTATAAGGATGTGGTTAAGTCTTAAAAACGGTATTAAAAATTAAGAAAAAGCTTTGAAAAATTAAAGGGGGATTTATAAAACCAGTCAAAATAATTAACTGTAATTCACTTTAAATAAACTGAAAAGATAGTTTTGTTTAACTGAGATAAGACGAACCTGCCCACACTTTAAGTCAACTAAACCTATATGATAATATAAAAAGGACATTTGAACGAGGATAAGGAAATTGGTAGAGGTTCAATTAATATTAAATAAAAAACGCATTTCTCACAGGACTAGAAATAAATGCAATAAAAATTAAAATTCAGTACAAAATATATATGTTTTTTTTGTAAACATCTAAAAAGGCCATTTGACGCAGGACTAAGACTAGATTAAAAAAAGGTCTAAAAAATAATCAAGCTGAGGTTAAAACACCAACAAGGATGTGATTAAGTCTTAAAAACGGTATTTAAAATGAAGAAAAAGCTTTGAATTGAAAAGTCAAAAGAATGAACCGTAAATCAGCTTGTTTGAACCATTGTGCAGCTTCCTCTCATTCAGCTCCACAACTCACCGAGGTACCGCATGAGGCCCTTGAGGTCGACGAGGAACTCGAGGTCGGGGAGGAAGAAGCTGTGCACTCGCGTCATGTGGGCCACGTTCTTCATCAGGGACTTGGAGTGGTGTGAGCAGAACAGGCAGTCGGTGACGGGGATGGACCCCGGCAGAGCAGCTGGACGTGGGGCGGACACGGCAGCAGCATCCCCTTCCTCCTGGTCCATCGTCTCCTCTTCCTCCTCATCATCCTCCTCCTCCTCTTCCTCCATATCATCATCGTCTTCCCCCTCAACGTCCTCCCACTCTTCTGGAACATTGTTAAAGGAAAATATTGGAGTCAGAAGCTTTATTTATTTTATTGTTTCTTAACCCACTGCCTGTGTTTTAACATGTGCTTTTTTGTTTTGTATTTAAAAAGGTCCCTTATTATTCAGTTTCTTATCAATATATCACAGGTCTCAGATATATCCAGAGCCTGTCTCTGATTGGCTGAAACACCAAACAGATCATTGCAGCATTACCCATAACCCCCTCTGTTTCAGCCCTGTTTCCAAAGTGCTGATTCTCTGTCTGTTACTTTAGATGAAGATAAGGAGCCCCTCCCCACGCCCCTCTGAGAGACATTTGGTTACAAAGAACTCAATGGAGCTCTAGGAGGAGATTCAGGTGATAAGGGGGGGGGGGGGGGTTACCTTGGTTGCTGATTGGCTAATGGTTACACAAGACAAAACAACGTTATGACATCATAACGTGGCCAAAATCTGATCAGC